GGATTATAAATGTGAACTAAAGATCGAGGATAAAAAGTCATCTTGTAGCATTCAGCGACATGAATTGTTGGAGGATATGTATTACAAACCACTGAAACCAAAATACACGTACTTTTGCTTAAAATATTTCAGCAGTGCAAGAAGAAACCTACAGAAAAAAAAAAAGTCTCTCTAAACGGAGTGAAAGAAAAAATAGTTACAATTCAAACGTGATTGCCCTGATTATCCCAGATAACAAATACAAATTAAACCACACAGTTTCACATGAAAAATAAAATCTTCAATGATCTCAGGACTGAATCTGCACTTCATTTAGACCCTGAGGACTTCACATAACAGTTTGCGCACACAGCTAAACAAAAAGTAATTTATTACATCCTCTCAAACCAAACCCTGTCTCCTATTATGGTATGATTTGCAATACATCTGCAAACACAAAGCAACTTAACAAATGGGTTGTAACAGACAGAATACAGCTGGCTCGCCAAACGATACTGACATGAAGCCATTTCCCAGATAAGCACACAAAAAAAGAAGTGTGTCTAACGTAAAAAGAATCACGTGTCCTGTCGTTAATTAAAATCCCTTCTTTACCAATCGTGTCATTCACAAAAACAGCTCCAACGTGCTGTTATACTTTAATTTTCTGAAAAGTCAATAGCTACTTTTAAGAATAAACCATTCTAGGATATTTTTACTTCCAGCATGCTATCAACACCTCCACAGAGAAGCGTCCGTTACCTTTTTTAAATAACCACCACGGTGATCGCTTTAGGCAAATTCTATCTGAAAAACTTTTAACTGATGTATTTGCTATCTTTATGTGTATTCAGTAACACATTTAAGCTGAAAAGAGACCTGTTATTAATGTAGTCTTCTAATTTACATTTACTAACACTATATTGTGATCGATAGTTACACTTAGTGAAGTATTTGTGGTGCTATGCATCAAGTCTAGCACCACAGAAGCCATGGAACTGTAAGCCACAATCAGCATTTGCCTCACTGAAATTTGATCAATACGTGCATAATACTGTCATATTTATGCTCTGCAAGCAAGCTATAAAATAACAATGATTACACTGATGCATCTGCTTAGCTTATTATAATCACTACTTTGCCCTAACCTCTTGATTAAGACTTAATAAAAGGGTCAAACCGTCATGAATCTGATAATGTTAACTACCCTTTGCAACCACCCGATAGACCTTGTTTTTTTGTTTTTTACTGAGAAATACCTTATTAAAAAATAAATAAATAAATAAATAAAAATTAGGCAACCCGCACATGTTTCTTCCTAACATTGTCATGTTTGTGGATCTGTAATTTCCCAATTAAATTCTGCTCGAGAAATCATTTACTGCAGGTCACGTACCTAACACAGCTAACCATGTTTTTCTGCATGTGGCAGCTTTATCAATTTAAGAGCAAAAAAAAATAAAATAACCTTATGGAGAATATTTGCTTTTTTCCCCCCTATATTTGCTTTTTTCCTCTATAAATAGCACTGTGAAAACTATCTGTACCAAGCAGTCTTTAAACAGTGACTTAATTTATTAAGGGAAAGAGCGAGAGAGAGAGAAAGAAAAAAAAAGTATCCAAACCCTCACCATGTGTGAAAAAGTAATTGTCCACTAAACCTAATAAGCAAGAACTGCAATTGAGCATTTGTGATAACTGGCAATGAGTCTTTCACATTTATTATCTTCTTTGCAGAATTGTTTTAATTCAGCCACACAGGATGGTTTCTAGCACTGACGGCCTGTTTAAGGTCATGCCAAACCATCTCCAGACTTTGACTTTCAGGCCGCTCCAAAACCTTGATTTTATTTGTGTGTTTTGTTTTAACCCATTCAATCTGATGGTTGGACATTCCCCTTCAGGATTTTCTGGATTTCATAGTTCTATCAATTATGCCAAGTCATCCAGGTCCTGAAGCAGCCCAAAGAAATTTTTGACAAACATTAGATGAGCCTTTGTGTTCATTTTGGTGAGCAGTGATTTTCACCTTGGAGCTCTCCCATGGATGCCTTATTTGCCCAGTCGCTTTCCTGTTGTTAAATCAAATCAAACTCTGACCTTAACTGAGGCAGGTGAGGCCTGCAGTTCTTCAGATATTATTCTGGGTGCTTTTGTGACCTCCTGGATAAGTCGATACAGTGTTGGAGTAATTTTGGTAGGTGGCCACTTCTGGGAAGGTTCACCACTGTTCCAGGTTTTCATGGCTCTGACCATGGTTTGCTGGAGTCCCAAAGCCTTAGAAATGGTTTTATAACCCTTTCCATACTGATAGATGTCAACGACTTTGTTTCTCTCCTGTTCTTAAGTGTCTTTTAGATGAGATCTTTCAGCCCAATTCATTTCGTCAGACAGGTTGTTTTTAAGCAATTTCTTGATTCAACAGGTCTGGTAGTAATCAGATATGGGTGTGGCTATCAAAATTAAACAGAACCAAAGTTAAATAATAAATTAACTGTGATTAACAAACCAGGCAGATTTGGATCATTTTTCCCCCTTAAAAAATGTAATCATTTAAAAACTGCATTTTGTTTTTAATTGGGTTACCTTTACCCATTTTTTTTTTGGATGATTTGAAACATGTGTGGAAAAAGAAGCAAAAAAAGAAGCCCTTTGATTTTACACAACACTGTATATAGTAACTAAATATCGCATGCGCCTTAATACATCGGCTTCATTTTCAACTCATTCAAATGATTAGCACCATTTTCACCTCACTACCGCTTAATTAGAAAATCTAACACATGCAGGGAATAACTGGCTTCTACGTTCAGTGATGATTATCATTTCTGCATAAGCTCTGAAATGTCCAATGTTGTAGACGATCAACCAATACTTTTGCATTTTTATGACTTGGTTTTGCTGAGACGGATCCATAACCACATCTCCCCAAATGTTTATGCCAGTTTCACGTCATAAATACACATGAGCTGCGTATTGTTTCTCAAGGATTTGCTTTTGTTTCAAACATGAAGGCCTCAGAGCATAAATATTATCTATATTCAAGCCCCTGCGGGAGCTAGCGGTTGAACCCTTACAGCTCATGGTGTGGATGTGTTTTAACTCCATGCTGCTCAGCAGACAAGCTGACCACCTGTTTATGGCAGACATTTGGAAAGTCGTTTTAAAAAACAAAAAAAACAAACTGACATTAGATGAACAGGCCATTACAGTCTGAGTCCATTCATTGAAAACTTGAAAACAAAATGAACAAAATAAATTATAGTCTCATTCTCATGTAGTCAGCTATTACTAATTTATGTCAATCTGTGTTTACAAAACGAAGTGGGGAGATTCATCGGTGTCCTAGGCTGGGTAAAGTCCTCCATCATTACAACAGCCAATGAAAACTAACGTCCAGGAAGCAATATTAACATTAAGTGCCAACTACAGATGTATTTTATGGCGTTATGATTGGCATGCTGCATAGCCCAGCCATAAGTTCTCCTTCAGTTTTGCTTGTCATCTCTACACAAACACTGAGTATTACTTAGAGTGAAAAGCTAAGGTCAAGCAAGGCTACCAAGCATCCAGTGCATTAGCTTTAGTTACAGACCACAAATACTTCCAGGATAAAAGCCGATGCAAGACCCCTGTGTACCGTAAAGATGACAAACAACACCACTTACACATGTAGATGATGTGGACACTGATGGAAGGAAAACAGCAGTTAACACACAAAGGATTGCTAACGATGCGATGCACACCTTTGCACTGGCTGCTGCCAATCCACTAAGCATTACTAGAATTTGCTTGATTATCTCCATTTGCACATGATTATCGGTAACCTGGCTAATGTGTGCTCTTAAACAGGCAGCATGCCTAATGGAGGATGCATCGACTACCACAGTTACATTTCTGCTCAAAACAAAGCTTAATCGCCATTGCACTAGTCTTAAGGTTACTGCACTGGCCTGGGCACAGAAAGACGGTCCTGTGTCTTCGGTGCTAGTAGCTAGCCAAACAGGTTCAATGGACTTTGGAGCTGACGCGTTAGAGTAACGTTAGCTAGCGAGCAGATTTCGCCACCAAGATTTGCTCGGTCATTTTAATAGAATTTCCCTTCTATATGCACAAAAAGAACAACACGAACAAGTAGAAAAGACGTGCGGCTTAAAATGTTTCACGATACCTTTCTGGACCTTCACCACTGCCGTGGTATGTAGCTGAAAACACAGTCCGTGTTGGGGACGTGGAGAGCTGGGACCAAAGATGGCGTCCCCTCCAAACTTCCACTACTTTGGATACTCATCAAGCTACTTTTCGTGTGTAGGTGCTGCAGCGCACATGGGTAAGCTTTAACACCGACTGGAAAAACTGACCGACTGGCGTGCCCTGTGTGACTTTAGAAGGGCACGGTGACTGCCAGTACGTGAAAATGTCTAATTATTGTGTTTTAAGGACACAAACCTCTTCACACCTCAGTAGCGAGTCCGGGCTCCGGGCCCACCTCTCCGTCTTCAAGTGGTTGGCTATGAAACGTCACGCATCGTGTGCAAAATTCTTATCGCGAGGGCGAAACATTTCCCCCCCAGCGTCAGCGACAACATACGAAAACATGAACACCATATGTTTTATTTTTACAGGTTACGATGCTCAAAGGGTCAAGACATGACTTTTAAACGAATGAAATGATCGATTTCCTTGTACTAAACTGTCATAGCATGGCATATCAAAAAATCTCTTTTCAATAAATAAATAAACTAATTTATTTAATTAAGAATTAAAATAAATAAATACATAAAACGCTTGAAAGTTAACATAATAATTATAAAAATACTCAAGATTAATAGTTAGATACAATGCAATAATTTTTATTTTCTACTCTCAGGCATAAATTAGAGTAAAGGTTAAGTTGTGATTCTGACGTCCAAAACAAAAAAGTTTCAAGAAATCAAATTAAAAAATTTTTATTCCGTCAAAATTATGATGGAAACTAAAGATTCTGAAATAGTAATTAAGAAAAAAAGCTTACTTTTGGAAGGGTTAATGGGTTGATATGGAAGCTTGTTTATGTTATTAAAAATAAACTTGTAATTCAAAACTCCGAGTTAATATTTTGACATTTTTAGTTATCTCAAACTTTTGAGTGAAGTATCTTGACATTTCCAGTTAGTCAGAAGTAAGGCAAAACTTTTAGATACTTAGTAAGTTGAAATTTTGAGATAATAACTTGAAATTTTAACTTAGCTCCCCCTCACATTTTTTCTCCACTGCTGGTAAATAAATTCCATATATTTGATCATAAATTTGAGTATTTCAGTTTAGTAACGATTACATGCTTTAAAACAATTTCTTTCTTGCTAATTTTAACCACTACTAATATACAAACTAAGACATTAGAAGGGACAAATACTTCTTCACAGCACTGCTGATAGCTAGCTTGCCAGATTTTATTGTTACAAAAAGAACAAAAAAATCAAAATAGCATAATCTACAAAAAAATCAAACAATATTAAAAGTACCATAGACCAATACTGAAGGCTTTAATATGTAAAGCAGTGCAAAAAATTTGAAATCGGATAATTAAGTTAATGTAAAGAAAAAAGATAAAAGACTGAGATCATGCAAAAGCAAATTGTAGCAAACAGTGGTGGAAATGACATAACAAATAACATGTGCACTGTACACTTAAGAAACAGCAGCAAGGAGGTTTGGAACAGAAATATGCATGTAATCATGTGTCCTGGTGTGCGTCGGATGTGTTCTCCGGTCACAAAAACAAGAGCTGTTGTACAATTTCATAAAGAATAACAGGAATATCCGTGTAGAGTCATCCAGGTCATGGGAATCCAAGGCGATTGGAAAGAAAGCGACTGGACTCCTTTAAAATTCTTGAAGATGTTAAATCTCTTGTCCGAGAAGATTCACTAGTTCTAATTTGCTCAATGTATGTCTTAGAACAGTGGGAATGATTTCCTGAAATGTTCTTTATGGCAGTGAGGTCGAATCAGTTTTGCAGCTTATCTGCAGATAAATCAGCATCAATAAACACAGCTAAGCATATATTCAGGCAACACATCAGTGCAACCGCTAATTTGCTTCTCTCTTACAAAAAGTGGCTTGAAGTGGCTTACTGAATAATGGAACGTAATCTCCTGTCAATCATTCTTACAGTGGCCTCAAAACATCTAGTGCATGGTTCATGTACCCGAGCCCACCTGGACTTAACAACATTGTGTCAGTATCTAAATATGAATATAATGAGAAGTAGAAAACACCAAACACCTGTTTACTGGTTTTTATTGAGTTTTATATATTTTACCCCCAGCTGCCTCCAAAAAAAAGTTATTACTAGGCCCAAATAAACCAGTTTAAGTATAAAAGTATGAAAAATACACAATTCTAGTTAGATCTGTGCATGGTGGGATGCTAAGAGGTTGAAGGTGGATATGGTTTTCTGTACTTGCTCTGCATCCACACCCGGCGCATTACTACTTTCTTTCCTCGGTTCACTTGCAGTCGTCTATCCTCTAGATTCTGAATTTCTTCCAGTCCAGCTTTGGAAAACAAATCATGAACCTCCTCTGTAAAACATAAAACACAAAACACAACAGTCAGGAACCAAAATTTTAGTCCAGGTTCTCTTTCTGCCAAGAAAGCCATGACAACAGAAAACACGGTTTTGTGTGCATTACCGTGAAGCTGTTTTTTTATACATTCGTTTTCTTTTTTACCAATTTTGGAATTGAGTTTTATCTGAGATAATGCATATATTTAACCATTCACCAATAAATGTAAATTCCATCTTTGTAAACACCACAAACTTGTATCATAGCACTGATCAGAATAGGGGTGTCAACACCCACACCCATACGTAGAAATACCTTTTGTGAAAAAATAAACACAGGTTCCATCTCCGCGTGTGTAGAAATTTTCTGATAGACATCGTCCTTGTTGTCAGAGACGAAATGACAAAGAATTTGTTTAAAAAGGAGAATCTCACACACAGACAAAGATGTATTAAGAATATATAAGAAATTAGGGTAAAATGATACAACGGGCATATCGGGAGGCTTACCTTTTTTAAAACGGAGTTGTGAGAAGTCGTATCTCCCATAATCACGGAAAAGGAGCACACCACCATGTTTCAGGTATGCAGACAGATGGTTCACAACGTCTTGCAAGCTGTCAATAAAATTTAGTTATTGGATAAATTATGTTATAATGCAGCAGGCTTGCAGCTAAAGTGATCCTTGCAGCCATCGGTAAAATATAGGCCAAGGAGAAATGCATTCACTGAGATACAACTGACTTCAGTCAGCAGTGCATTTGTATTAGCTTAACCCAAGTATATTACATGTGTTTCCCAAATTCATCTATATTTTTAGTGTCAAGCAAACCACAGAATATTCAATCTCTTGCAATTAACTGTATGGTTTATTATTTCCATTTCAAACTGGGGTTTATAATGGCATTCAAACAAAGGCTGGGCAATGGGATGGTTATGGAGGTTGTGGAGGGGGAGGGGCTGGCTGGCAGGTGATAAATGACATTAGGGTCTCCCATCTCTGTACTCTAAACCTCACCTACCGCTCTGGATGAATGGAAGAGAGCACAAATACTGCCAGAATAATATCCAGGCTCTGAGGAGGAAATGGGAAGGTGGCCATTTTGTCACAAATGTCATGGACGAAGGCGTGGCACACCGAGTCGTCATAGTCTGGGTGGTTCTACACAAGGAAAATAAGTTAGATTATATCTATTAAGCATGTCATTATCACATTGGTGTTGCAACTCATGTACAGTTCTGAGACATTTTCTCATGAACCTTCCTATCGCCTTGAAGCAGTCTGGTCATTCTTGTCTGAGAGCATCAAGAAGACATTTTCACCCAAATAACTGCCACTCAGTGGATGTTTTCTCCTTTTCAGACGACTCTCTGTAAACCCTAAAGATGATCCGTCCATTCATCCATCCTTCCTCTTGTCCAATTCAGGACTAGGATAGCCTGGAGCCTATCCTAGCTACTCTAAAGATGGTTGTGTGGGAAAATCCCAGTGGATCAGTTAACAAACAGTTAAATAGGTGTACATTACAAATTGGCTAGCAAGTGTGTAGGAATGCCGTCTTTTTTACATTACTAACATTGTTTTCTATGTGTGAGATTTATTTAATGTGGAGATATGTAACAGTGATGTTTTTTTCTTCTGCTACATTTCTGCACATGATGTCATATTTATCTATTCTGTGTCTGTCTAGGTAGAAATGTATGATAAAGACATATTTTATTTATAGATCAGCTGTTCTTCATCAGCTGTTGAAATTAAATTATTTCCCAAAACATTTAAGGGACGGCAATATTTTGTAGATGACTAAATTATTATTATAATACAGTATACACTTTATATTTTCATACGAAACAGATGCTAACCTTAACCAGCTGAATGGCACGTGGCGAGAAGTCACAACAGTATAAAAATGAGTCTGTTTCTCTGTGGAAGAAAACAAACAGTTTAACAACTGGGAATCATCACATTACAACCACAAGTACTTGTAAAACACTAACAAAGTGATTTTGTGGCTCAACACATATTTTTTACAAGTGTCTTAATTGTTTTTTCTAATGTAGGTGATAACACAACTACTTCACAGAGAAATTTCCACTGTGTTCTATGTGTATGCTCTGCTCTCAGTCAACAACAGAGATGACAATAGAGACAATCAAATACTAAACATCTGTATGATCATTCATTAAAGAGAAACATTGACTTACTTGATGTTATTTACAATAGGAAACACACTGTTACCAACTCCACATCCAACCTGTGAACAGAAGAAAATGCAAAGCAGTTATTTAACATTATCTGTGTTGCAATAATATAACATGCACATCCTGTATAAAAAATTAAAACAAAAACAGAGTATATTAACTCTTTTAAAAACCTCCAGGATCCTGAAGGATGCACGTTGTCCAGGAAAAGCAGAATCATCCACAGCAGCTTCATTCGTTCCTCGTGCAGCTTGTTGATAGGACTCCTGAAAGTTAAAGGTGTCTGTATTCCTGTGATGGTCAATGGGATTGCACCGTTGATGTTTTCCAGTTTCGGTGTCCAATCTGGATGCACTACATAGTTGAATGGCTGCTTGCTGATGACTGTGACACGTGTTTGTGCTCTGGCCTCTTTCACCTGAAGGCAGCAGCTCTGGGAATTCTAAAAACAGCCACCTGCGATCTTTGAAGAACTTGTCCTGGTGAATCTCATAAAACATGTCCCAGTACTGGCAAGCTGCTGTAACAAATTTACCTGCAAGGACAGAATTCAACAACTTTTTCATCATTTTTGTTTCCATGTAATTCCCAAAAATCTAATTAAATGTGTTAAAATATTTTATTCTTGCCTTGTTCGTTTAAAGGAAGTCGTACAATGGAATTTTCCTCCGCCTTCTGCCGTGCATTTTCCTTGTCCTCCTCTGTCCATTGCACATGATCCCTAACATGAAAAACATTACTAAAGCAACTCCTGAATGTTAATATATCAATTTAACTATAATGACTCACAATTTAATTTGTTATAATTAGCTTTAATGTCATGAAATCCTGTGACCTATATTTTAGATTGTATATTATTATATATTATAGTATATTATTAGTATACTGGTGGTGGTCAGAGGGCCCGGTGGCACCAGTGTCCGGCAGCCTCGCCTCTGTCATGCGCCCCAGGGCAGCTGTGGCTACAATGTTGTTTGCCATCACCAGTGTGTGAATGTGTGTATGAATGACTGAATGTAGTGTGAAGCGCTTTGGGGTCCTTAGGGACTAAGTAAAGCGCTATACAAATGCAGGCCATTTACCATTATATATAACACATATACAATATACAAGCTACATGGTGTCTTCTTATTATGTGGAATAATAAACGCAACTTTTACACATATTCATTAAAGTCGCATCACTTACCACATGTTGTGCTTGAAGATCTCATCAGGACTGGTCAGAATCCGTGAACCCAGTGGAGCTGAAGGTCTACTGTCACTGCTCTTTAACCTCATAGAGAATCTGATGAAAACTGCAGCCACTTTGGCTACAGAGAACCTCTTCACTTTATTCATTTACTCTGTAAAAGTGCACATAGGTTTAAATACATACAACAATCCCTGGTCAGTACATCGCTGCCTAAAAAGACTAGTGGAAGCAATATCTATGTCATGCAGGGGAGGGATACTAGCATCGAAGGACGCTGAAGATGGAGCTGACACAAAGGAAGACCACAAAGAAGACTGATAAATGTAGTGAAGGAGGAAATGCACAGGGTTGCTGTTACAGAAGAGAATACTAAGGATAGGGTGAGATGGAGACAAATGAGCTGCTGTCGTGACCCCTAAAGACACCATCCAAATGTCTATTTAATGTTAATACATACATGTAAATAAAATAACAGAATACGATAAACTCTTCTTTTGCCCTGAAAGCTGGGAAATGTCCTGAAAATAGAAAATGCATGCATTTTGGTTTTTTTAAAAATCCCCAAAGCTAACGAAACTAAAATGAGCTCAAAGTCGTAGAATAGTAAAAGAAAACAAAAGTCAAGAATACATAAACATTTAAATACAATGCAACGAAATCCTTAAAAAAGAACCTAGTATAATACGTTAGCGTGACTCTTTAAAGTACATTAGCTCAAATTTAATACAGGAAAAACAAAACAGAAATAAAATAAATAAATGATTAAATACACATACACACAGAGAAATATGTTTAGCTAACACCGCTCAAATGCTTAAAAAAAGCTATATAGTTTGAATAATAATTCCTAAAATATAGAATCGGACTATTACTGCAAATAAAAACGGAAACTAAAGGATGCAGCTGATTTTTAAGTGTATCTCTGGTCAGGGTACGTGCAGACGAATGGGTGCGCTACAGCGGGACAGCGAGTGCGCTATTGTGCCGTAGAAGAAGACGCGTGTGAAAACATGGAGAGGGATGGGGTGCTAATAGAGTTAGCGGCTAACTAACAACACAACCCCAGTCGACAGGCGAAAGCAATGCTCGCCAACTTAACCCTAACAATTATATTTAACCCTCCATGCAACCTCCGAGCAGTTCCTCTGGGTCATTTGTTAAACAAAACTTTTGGACGAAGTTGGCGACATGTCGAGGTTCCTTAGCTCACGCTAACCTAAGCTAGCTGTTAACTTTTCATGTTAGTCATTGGACGTGTGAGGTCGCGACGGCGTTGAAAACATGAAGTCTAGAAAACAGCTGTAGCGTGCTGGACTACAAAACCATACGGTGCTTACCTCGCTCTGGGTGGGCTGTTGTGGTCACTTCAGTCAGTCGATCTAGTCATGCTGCTAGCAGCCCCCAGTAGGAAAACGTACCACCTGCAGATGGCGCCACAGCAGAGAAAGGGGAGCGCTAACGCAGCTGAACTGCTGAGCCGGAGGAGCACGGGTCTTGGGAATACTAGGACTTTAATCAGACATAATTTGAAGATCCTGAGAGGTATTCTCCTTCAGGTAATGTTACAGTTTGTAGTGTTACTGCTTTCAGTTGGTGTTTTCCCATATTAATTATTGTTGCCATATTGTAGGAAAACCGGACTTTCACGAAAGTATGGAGCAAGACCTCAAAATCCACAGTAATGTACGAAAATTGCAAACTATACTTTGAAAACTACCAGCACTGCTACAGCTGGTGAGTATGGGGTCCTAACTTTAATTAGCTTCAGTTTTTAAACACGTATACATGCCAAAATATACACAGGACTATTTTGGTACGTTAAAGTAATCCTCCACTGGTCATATACACTATTAAAAATGAGTTGTTAAAAATCTACCTATACAAAATATTTTTTTTAATATGAAGTGTTCATATTACACTGGCCTGTAATATAAATTTATTTGGCACCCACTTAAGAGATATAGCCAGAGCCAAATGAAAATCATCACCTCTTTAATCACTTATGTAATGGATATATAATGTTTTAAAGCTTTTACTTGAGTGTATTAAATATTGTCTGTAGTGAGAGTAGGGATCAGGTGAAAGAGCCTGGAAAGGTTGAGGTATGCTCTGGAGAGAAGAGGAATGCAAATCAGAATACATGCGTGTGAATGAAAGGGAGATGGGTGTAACAGCGTAGCAAGTTGATGAGTTTTTAAAAAAAAAATAAAAAAAATGCGGAAAACCATTTAAAGCAGTGGAAGATATTGAATATTTTTTGTCTTATCTTATCTGGCAGGGAAAAGTATAGATGTCTGATGAATAACGTGAAAACAGGTGGGCCATGATATTTAATGTAAATGTGTACAATTAAAATAAAACCCATTGTGTCATTTTAACTTCGTCAGAAATTGTTGCTTTTGCGAAACAGTGATGTAGGATACAGAGGAGCAGATGATCTAAGGAGCTTTAATTGAAGTAGGAAAGTGTTGTGTATGCCCAATAACACTGACAAGCTGCTTATGTTTTATATTTTGTATATGTGTTTCAGTGTTCATGTTGAGCCTCAGATTTTGTACAAACTGCCAACGAGGTCCAAACAGGAGAAAATTGAAGATACATTGATGTGTCACAGCCCAGTTGTAAGTAAACATTAATAAACTGGGTGTTGCTCAGATAGAAAATTTCAGACTGTTGTGTTACCTCTTTTTTTTTTTGTTCTCATCCAAAGGAAAAATCCTTATCTTCTCCATCTGATCATAAACCAAGCCTCTTGGTTTTGACGGCCAATAACTGGCTAATTCGCCTTTCAGCTGAAACGGGAGAAGAACTGCAGAGAGTTTACCTCTCTCCAAACTATAAGTTCAGGTATCTCTACGGTTCTGATTTCAGTGTCCTTTGAGTGGAAAGTATTTTTAGATTTGGTTCATTTTAAAGCCATTTTAGTTTTATAGCTTGTTGTTATCTTGTAGATATCTTGGCTGGGATGTTTCTCAAGAGACATTTTATGTTAAATCTGTTCAAAACAAGGAAACACCTTTAGCCAGACAGGTAAAGTGAATACATGTATTTAAAGTATTTGTGTCTTGTAAGAGAAAGTCAATGATAAGTTAATGTTATATTTAAATTAAACATAGCTGTCACTAGCTATACGTGACTCTTGTTATTTCATTTTTTATATTCTTTATATTTAAGGATTATTCTTTTTTCATCTTGTGGTTGTTGGTTTCAAATCAGAAGGTTGTTGTTGTTATTATTACTATTATTATTAGTAGTAGTAGTAGTAGTAATTTATTGTTTGTGCAACTAGAAAGTTTATTAATTATTTATTTTTCTGTAAGTCCTATAAAAATGAAGAGAGGAGACGTGACCTTTTTTCTGATTTATCCCACAGGCAGGTATCACTCAGAATACAGTGATGCACATCGCTATTTTTCACGTTTTCCCATTGGAAGTTATTGGTGTTATGGAGATCAATAAAAAAGTAAGTTTTGTTTGTTTGCTTGTTTTTTAAATACAGTTTACATTTTTTCAAATGTACATTTTTTTGGAGGTTTTTTCATTTAAAGGTTTTTTGTTTTGTTTTTCTTGTAGGTGTTTGGAAATGGTGTCATAGGTGCTGATCTGGTTCAAGGTGTCCTTGCACTGTATTACAGCAATAAGTCAGTGAAAATGTACAGCTTCGAGCACATTGTCCAAAGAGTAAGTCTGTGTTTATTTAGACATTAGTGAATGCATCAGAATTTGCATCAGGGGCGATCGTGGCTCAAGAGTGGGGAGTTCGCCTTGTAATCGGAAGGTTGCTGATTCGAGCCCCGGCTTGGACAGTCTCGGTCGTTGTGTCCTTGGGCAAGACACTTCACCCTTTGCCTACTGCCTACGCTTTGGGGTCCTTTAGGACTAGTAAAGCGCTTTACAAATACAGGCCATTTACCAATTTGATGTGATTTTTTTTTAATAGAAAGTGTTTTATTATCATTCTGCTTAGCTTGCTTCTTACGTCTTTGGGATGTAAGAACATGATGAACATTTTCTTTGTTTTCAGTACCTGACAGAGAAGCTAACACTTGGAAAGCAGAGTCCTCTTCTTGGTGGCAAAACAGTCGGAGATGCACCGTTTGGTATCCCGTTAAATATTCAAATCACAGGTTGGTTTTTTTTTTTTTTTAAGAACCAGTGGTATATGTGCTTAAAGTTGAGTACATGCATAGCTTCAAATAACTAATAAAGCCATTTTTGTGAGGCAGCTAATATGAAGAAAGTTGTCTTAAATCGAGCTGTAAGGGACCTGAAATGACTTCTTCAAGGCTGTGAACTGTGAATCATGTAAAATATGGTGCTTGATATGAACATGATATTAAACATATTTGGTTCTGTTTATTAACATCTCTATTTGCCGCAGCAGCTTATTTCTGCTGCTGTTCCAGGGGTCACAGAGTGATAGCCACTCTAATCAAGAATGTTTTGCTTCACAAAGCGAGTATAATGTTTGTTTTTCCTTTCTCATTGCACAGATTGCCCTCCTGTACTTTTCAAGGTCTCTTGTGCTGAAAACAGTGTTCAGATTGGAGGAAACCCATGGCACTACATTTACACACCGCCTCGTAAAAAAGACGAGGGGACCTACCACATCTGCTCACTCAAGGACGGCACTATGGTATATTTAAAATTCCTCAACTATAAATTTACCTCATTATTACCTTTTAGTTATGGTTGTACTTTGAGTAAAACATGACAGTAATAAGTCAGTTTGTGGTAAAAATGAGCTGTTGCTAAATTTGTCAGACCCTGGTGAGTTGTCATTGTAAGAAGGGCTCCAAATGTTTTTGACAGTCTTCCTATTCAGTCAGTGGACAGAGCAGGAGCGAACTAAACCTGTAATCACCTCACAATACTACCTTTGTGCTGATCTCTAAACTCTGCCTTCTCTCCCATTGAGAAGCCATGACATTGTATCAGATTATTTTCACATAATCTCTCCACTGAGTTGTTCATGTGGAAAATACCACACATACTTAAATAGAAAACAGGAGAATCAAAGGGGGGTATAACACTCTTTATACAGGGAGTGCAGAATTATTAGGCAAATGAGTATTTTGTCCACATCCTCTTCATGCATGTTGTCTTACTCCAAGCTGTATAGGCTCGAAAGCCTACTACCAACTAGAAAAATTTGCATTTCCCGCGAAAATGCTGTGTGGATGCCTTAACGCTGAAGATGTCTGCTGAAAAAAGCTGAAAAAGTTGAAAAAAAAACAACAAAAAACATTGCCCTGAGCAGGATTCGAACCTGGCCCTTCTGGTCTAAAGGCGGCAATTCACCTCACTGCACCAAACTCATTCACACAAAGAAGAGGTGGAGAGAGTGACAATTGTGGTGAAATTAGCAGAAGCTGCTTAGAATTGTGCTGATAAGAGGTGAAAAAGCTAAACATTTGGCAGAAAAGAGGTGAATCAGAAGAATTTCTGCTGAAAAGAGGCAAAGAAGCAAAAAGATGAGCTGAAAAGAGGTGTAGAAGCAGAAGTACTTGCTGAAGATGGCTGTATGTGTAATGACACACTGGAGAGCAGTGACACACAAGAAAGCAGAGCGCATGCAAGCAGGGAACATGTGTAGCAACTGTCACAGGTAGGATTCAAACCTCTGCCACCGGGTCTCACGGCAGATGCCCTACCCTCTGAGCCAAGTGAGTTCTGGTCACAAGCAAAGATATGATGAGAGGGACAATGTGCACTGTGGAGCAGAAGCTCAAATTAGCAGAAAAGAGGTGAAGAGGAAGAACTTTGTTGTGAAATGAGGTAAAGAAACTGAAATTTGTGCTTAAAACAAGTGAAAAAGCTGAACTCTGAAATCCTGCTAAAACAGCAGAAGAGGCTGACATTTTTCAGCTACTCATTGAGCCAAACTGGTTCTCACGTAACTGAAAAAAGGTGGAAAAGCTTACAATTCTAATGAAAACAGCAGAAGAGGCTGAGATTTGTGCTGATAAGAGGTGAAAATGCTGAACCAATCAGAGGTACTGCTTCTGTCTGCTTCATCAGGCTGTGTACTTGTATGTATTTCTGCCATAGACTGTTAACAAGAATGTGAGGTCCATATTAGAAAAGCTGCTAAAATCATAAAACTTTGCAGAATTGTAATAAATTATCAATATGAATTACCGGTCTGTGATAGTGTATAAATTTGTACTCAAAAACTAGGTGGGATAGAAGCATAATTCTTGCACTGGGTGAATCAGCGGACTTTGGTGTACTTTGACTGCGATTTACATAGCTCTTTGTATCTCCGTCGCGGAGACATGACGAGAGAAGAAATGGCTTAATTTTCAGAGTTTGAAAAATGAGAGGACAGATTTCCACCCCTCAAACATGTTTTTGCAGAAACACTGTAATTTCGCTTAAATAGTATGAAATAGCAGTAATACTATGATTTGGCAGAAATACTA